TCTCTCTGTGTCTGTCTGTTGTCTGTTTGTCTCTCTGTGTCTGTCTCTCTCTTTGTCTCTCTCTCTATCTTTCTCTGTGTGTGTGTCTGTCTCTCTCTGTGTATCTCTTTCACTCTGTGTCTGTGTATGTCTCTCTGTCTCTCTGTCTGTCTCTGTCTCTCTGTCTCTGTGTCTGTCTCTGTCTCTCTGTCTCTCTGTCTCTCTGTCTCTCTCTCTCTCTCTCACACACACACACACACACCCCAAAAGAACAAGAAAGTCTTATCAACAGTCCTGATTATCCAATACTGGCTCAGCCAAGGTAACTGACCCATTGGTGATGGATTGGCCTTTCATAATAACAGAGGCTTCAGACTGTTTTAATGAGAGAAGAATAAATAACTTCCTATTTATATTCTTATTAGTCATCCAATTTTCATCTTGATGATATTTTACTATGTAAACAAGGAAAACAGGCTCTGTATTTGAATAACATGATAAAGATGTTTATATTTTCCAAAGGTTAATGCTAAGATTAATATTTTTAAGGTCAACATCATTAAAACTTTATGTTTCTCCTAAGAATGTTGAAGCACTTAGCCTTTTTGGCTGGGTTCATCAACTGCCAAGTCATACCAACTCTTCTTGCAAGGGATGGACATAGAATCATAAACAAGTAGTCTCACTCAGAGCCATAAAGCCACAGTCAAAATCATAATTTAGGGTGGGAGGGATTAGGGCTCGGTGAGTAAAGTGCCGAGCAAGCATGAGGCCCGCAGTTCAAATCCCTAGAGCCCTTGTGAAGGCAAATGTAGTAGCAGGTGTTATAATTCCAGTGTTCCTACCCCAAGATTAGAGGCAGACAGGAGAATCCCTGGACGCTCAAGGGCCCGCTGACCTTCCATAGTCAGCAGCAAGGGAGACACTCGGTCATCAACAAGATGGAAGGCAGTGGCCAGCATGTGAAATTGTCTTCCTTGTTCACACACACACACACACACACACACACACACACACACACACACACAGTTTTTGAAAAATTTAGAATTTAGGCTAACTCCAAAAGCTTACACAAGTAAAAAGAGTATTGTAAAATCTCTCTCTGACAGGATTCACACTTACAGCCTGCTGCGCCTTGAGCAATACCTCACCTTGATTCTACTTACTAGAGCGAGTGGACTACAGACTTCGAAAGAGAAAGTGAACGGTTCAAATTCCCAATTTTCAGATGAAAAAGCAAACCCCAGCAAGGTGAAATCACCTGTCTAAAGGTCACCTGTCTATCGGAGAGGCAGAATGGAACGTCAGTATCTAGACCCCCCAGGTGAGGAGGCTTCCCATCTGTTAGTCCACACGGAACCTCAGCCTGTGCTCCCACCCAAGGGGTGCCGCCCAAGGGGCAATGGACTAATCTAGTTGTTCGGTGACTAACTTGACAACCAGCAAGTCCTCCGCAAATGTTAAGACAGATGAGCGGTTCCTAATGTTTTCATCTGAACATATATATGTTTGTGCGTATAATATACATATCATTATTATATTTATCTACTGGGAGGGGACATGTTTACCACGGCAAGCTGTGGCAGTTAGAGGCCATCTAAGAGGATGTCTTAGGGTTTCCATTGCTGTGATGACACATCAGGACCATAAAGCAAGCTGGAGAGGAAAGGGTTTATCCGGCTCACACTTCCACATCGCTGTTCACCTCTGAAGGAAGTCAGGACAGGAACTCACACAGGGCAGGATCCTGGAGCCAGGAGCTGATGCAGAGGCCATGGAGGGTGCTGCTTACTGGCTGGCTCCCCACGGCTTGCTCAGATCACCTTCTTATAGAACCCAGGACCAGCAGCCCAGGGACGGCACCACCCACCATGGGCTGCGCCCTCCCCTATTGATCACTAAATGAGAAAATGCCTTACAGCTGGATCTCATGGAGGCATTTCCTCAACTGAGGCGCCTTCCTCTCTGATGACTCTAGCTTGTGTCCAGCTGACACACAAAACAGCCAGTGCAGAGGATCTCTCCTTCCACCATGTGAGTACTGGGGATCGAATTCAGGTTGTCAAGCTTGGTGGTGAGGGCCTTTACCCACTGAACCACCTGCCAGTTCCATAAACATATTTCTGTTCTGTTTTTTAGGAGGGAAAAGGGAACCAAACCCTTTCATATGTGGTATTGAGAAGGAGGACACAGACCAATAAGGGAGAAAGGGGATGCAGGCCAGAGAGCCAGGAACAGGTAGGCAGTGACCCCCCATCCCACCCACCCTCTACCCCATCCCACACACCCTCCACCCCATCCCACCCCCCTATCCCACCCCTACCCCCCCCCCAGTAGAATTTACAGGTAGATGATAAGATTAAGTCGATGGATTCAGGGAGACTGGTGGTGTCCCATGAGGAAACATGGTAAAGCCCTTCTGCGGTCTCACCTCTGAACAACTCACAAAGTGACAATCTGCCGAGGTCACAAAGGCTCTGTCTGCTCAGGACACCTTGGGACTTAGTCAATCACAGCAAGGCTGGGGTCTCCTTGATTCACTGCTGTCCCTGTCTATGGGATCTTCAGCTGAAAACTCCAGAGTCTGACCAGAGAAAGACTCTCCAGTCTTCTCTAAAACCCGAAGACTTGATGGACAGGGCTGACCCCGTGGGAAGCTGTGAGTCAGCGCAGCAAAGGACTTCAGAGCGCTGTGAGCAAGTGGAGTCAATGGCTGGCCAAGATCTTAAAATACTCAAGACACCTGAAGCCTCCGATGCAGGCTTCATCCCTTTCCCTCTGAGGCACAGGGTCTCCTAGAGAGCTGCTGCCGGCCTGCTGAGCTCCAGCCCCCCACCCCCACCCCCGGAGTCCGTGGCTCAGTAGCTAGCTCAGTGGCGCCTGTTCCCAGTCAGTTCCACAGCTTTATTCATGAATTTCATGAACGCACTTTTTAAATGCCCCTCTCCCCCAGACTTAACTAACATTCTTTAGCCATTTTTCTGTCACTTAACCTACATCTGTTCTTCACTCCTCTGACACTGAGGATATCCCTCTGATGCCATTTAAGTCGGATTCCCTAAGCCACTCTCAAAGCTACACTTGTTCCTTCCTAATTGCCTTGTTGCAAATGAAAGCACTTCCTAATAGCAGGGAGAGTTGGAGGAAGTGTCGGAAACGCGTCAAACATCATTCTACTGATGATCAAACTCAGAATGTGAGTCATGGCTACCATAGCTCAGGCTCCTTACGCTTCCCCAATTCGGTCCTTCCGGAAGGTCCGCATCCATCCAGATATCCTTTCTGTCCAAAACACAGCATGGACCCTGTTCATTTCCTCTTCTAAAACCGCCCATGGGAAGCTGGCCTGCAACACAGGTCTTTCCAGGAAATTTAATTCTTGGGTATTTGAATATTGAAAACATTTGCTCTTAGAATCAATGATTTTGAAACCTCAGGTAAGATCATGCCCTACATAGATAGGACATACATTGTATTTATTGCATTTTAATAGTAAAATTACAGAATTTCTTTCTTTTTTTGTGGTTTTTCGAGGCAGGGTTTCTCTGTATAGCTTTGCGCCTTTCCTGGAGCTTACTTGGTAGCCCAGGCTGGCCTCGAACTCACAGAGATCCGCCTGCCTCTGCCTCCCGAGTGCTGGGGTTAAAGGCATGCGCCACCAACACCCGGCTTACAGAATTTCTTATATGGTAATACCATAAGAACTTTATTCATCTTATTTTTGTTAAATAGTAATACATGCATTACATTCAAGTTTTCCTATTCTCTGAAGTCATTTCCTTTTTCCTTTTTTTTTCCCCAAATTCCCATTTAACCTTGACCTTTATCCTCAATAGAAATGTCCGCTGTCCATGTTCCCTTGCACTACTCACTAGGAGCCCCCTTTGACAGCTTAGGCGATTTCTGCTGGCATAATCAGGGCTGTGGTAAGATGGTAAGAGCTGTGGCCATGGTATTTAGCTGGAGATAGATGAAAAGGGGAGTGGCAGCCCAGGTGGCGTTGGTGCATGCCCCCAGTCCCGGAACTCGGAAGGCAGAGGCAGGCAGAGCTCAGCGAGTTGAACGCCAGCCTGGTCTACAGAGTGAGTTCCATGACAGCCAGGACTGTACAGAGAGAAAAAAAAAGAAAAGAAAAGGGAAGGGGCTACCTGCCATGGGCAAGGACTTGGGAGCACTGTGCCATAGCAATGGCCACCAGCCACTCAAGCATGCACAGTCCTTCCATGATGAGCCTTGTTATGTGTGGTAGATTATCAGTTACCTGCAGAGGGAAGAGTGACAAATTTGCCACATCATACTTACTCTGGGCATGCTTAGGGACCATCAGAGGAAGGCAGGACAGTAAACAGACTTTGGTAAAGACTGGCCATTAGAATAACTGACTCACATCAGAGACAGCTGAAGGTGTGGGAGACCCCTTTCTATTTGCTGCAAGGGGTTTTGAGCCATGCAGTTGCACCTGTGGCCTCTCACCACTGACAGCTGGGACTGCTATTTTCATTTTGAAATTCAGCTGCTCCTATGACAGTCTTGATGCAACATTTTAGGCATGTTCAGAAGCATGACTCATGATACTCTCCCAAGACGAAACCACTCCTGTGGTTTATTCTATTAGTGCTCAGCTTCCTGATCTACTAATGCTCCAGACTCAGGTGCAAGATTCAGACTGCTTGCAATTTGAGAAGCAGGAAATCTCAGCCAAGACACTTGGCAAAAAGTACTGGAACACAGGAGAGGTCTGAGGGGCAAAGAAAGGAGATCAAAAGTCTAACTGTCAAGTGTCACTTACTCTACAAAAGCCTATTGATTGGATAACTGCAATCCTCCCCTTAATAAGCACCAACTAAAATGTTTACAACTTCTGGTTTTCTCTGAGGCTGGAATCTCATCCGGGAGGGAGGGAAGGAATTTGAGGTATAAAAACCCACTTTCAGGATGCGGGTGCTAGGGGTGATTATGCGATTGGAAGGACGCAATCTCATCAATCTGCTCACTACTATTTAAACATACACCAGACAAGCTTTTGCACTAAATAATTGTGGCTTTATTTTTCTTTCACAAAATACAAAGTGTTGCACCACGTGATAGTAGTGTTTTAACACAAGAAAATCCCAAGGTGTTCATTGGGAGAGGGGTGGGTTCTACAATGTTGATTTGTGTCATTCTTAATATTAAAGGAAACTGTCATGACAACAGATGCTGACCAGGTAGAACATGCAGGTTATTGCTTAGAACTTGCATAAACTGTAAAATGGCACACATACAAAGATTACAAACATTTCAAAATTTTACTGAAAGTTCTGAAAAGATACTTACTATCCCTTCAAACAAAGCACAACCAGAAACCAAAATCAAAGAAACTCAATTGTATCTTAATTACTGATACATCTTAGTAATACTGGTTTATAAATTATCTGGTCTTATGTTTTATAAATAAAACTCTTCAGTCTTATGGAAATAAGTTATTAAGCATATTTTGAGAGGCTTCCAAAATCTTTATGACAATATTATATATTATAGCATCAGAGAAAAATTGTACATATCACTATAGTTAACGCATGTACCCCAGTTTTAAAGTGGCCTTTGCAAATAAGATCTATGTTGAAATGTTATTACAAATTCAATAACCAAAAAATGTCGTAGCTTACCCTACTTTTAGGACTATCATTTACACAAAAATTCCCTAAGTAAAAAGCAGACATAATCCTACAGAAACCCATCGAGCAGGAAACAAAATACAGAGCACTTTCTATTTACAGCTATATTTTTAGGTTCAATTAGCCAAAAAGGAGCAAATGATTATAACACACATAATAGACTTACATAAAAATGCAAAGAAAAAAGTTTGAGATGGTGTCTAACAAGTTTCCAGCCAGAGGTATAGAGCTTATAAATCTGTGATTTAGAAATCATTTCCATTGTGTTTGGTCTTTTGTGTAGGGCCTGATATCAAAACTGCTGCTCAGAGTGGATAAATAAATGTAAACTTTTTTTTATGCAAACAAATCCATCTTTTGAAGCTGCCTTCTGCTATCGAAAACAAAGTATGACATACTATCAAGAAACTAGAAGCTCAAGTCTGGGTCACAAAGGTACCAGGACTCAAGTCCCAGGGTGTTGAACTCCAGGAAACATTAACTCATCAGCTAGTAGTTTGTTTTTAAATAAACAGTACCACAGAAGGCTTTTCTATTTGAAAAGCAAGACTCTAAAACAATTTACCACAAGCCAGACCCTGTCCTCATCAAAACAGCTCCATTTTACACCCTCAATACTGCCAAGGGGTCTATAAAGAACATTTATATCATTAATACGCCTACAATAAATCCCTAGCTGAAACACTTTGTAAAACTCTTATTGCTAAACCAGTTTAAGAGCTTACAGATGTTTAATAAAACTATAATTACCTTTGTTTCATGTTGTAAACAGGTATTATTACATGCTGCTGGCTTCCTGTAGCCTATTAATAATTGTAGTTTGTCAGATCTTTCTTTATTAAACTTCCTACAATGCTTGTTTCCATGAAAGAACCTATTCGTAAACTTTGAAACTTGCCGCAAGAGATTGAGAAGCATACAGATGACTGGGGATGTCTCAGAAGTTGACACAGAAAGGTCCTGGCATATGGAAAGGGGACAGTGAAGTCTGTGGGGCATTAGAGAGTAGAGAAGGGCAAGCCAGGTGAGCTCACACAGAAAATTCTCAATAGAGGAAGAAAATACCATCTTTGAAAGCAAAAGCAGTCTTGCTGTCTCCTCCCACACCAGGTCCTATGGGCTTTTCTCATTTCTGCTCACATCAGGGTTGGCTTTCAGTAGCTTTAGTGTGAGCCAACTGTAGTTAAGGCCAGGAGGTGTGTGTGCGCTTTCAGAGTCTCTTCACACAGGAAGATTCTCACTGGTGTGTTGGCTCACACCTGCCGAAAAGCACTGTGCCATTCTTGTGACAAAAAAAAAAAAAAAGTTTGCTTTCGATGAAATCCAAAACACACAAATGCATAAGCTTTATGAAACATTATTGATGCCCATAACTATGTGGGCTTTTCAACTGCACAAGCCACTGAAGTACTCAAAGCAAGGCAATGCAAATACACAGGTCTTTAGGATGCTGATTTACATACTTGAAACAATGCAGGAACAGACTTATCCAGATTTGTTAATAGAGTCTTGTGGGACATGTTGGTTTTTCTTAAAAATGAAAGGCAAAAAACATGTACATTAGGATGGTACTTTTCCCTCTGTGCCTCTGTGACAAACGACATTTCCAAATGCCTAAGAAATGCCACCAGCAGTCCATGAATCCTCAAGAAAAACTTGTCTCCAAATGCCCAAGGTCTCAGAGGAAGCAATTAAAAAATCTGACACTTGAACAAAAACTGAGTTAAACAAATTATTAAAATTCATGAAAGAGTTTCATCCAAATACCTATAAACTAGGCAATTTTCCAACCAGACCCTTATGGACCCAGTTTATCCATAACAGAGCAAACTGACTCTCAGTGATGGTAACAACCTACCATTCTTCCATAACTGGCCCATGAACCAACAAAAAGTAGTTAAAATTTAAAAAGCCAACAACATACCATAGTAGTTTGAGTTAATTTCTTTGCATGCATGCGTAATGCATGCGTAACTTCATTTTGAATTTCAAATAAATGCAGACAATCCTCTAAATGATTTTAGACACAAGAGTGCAAATTCTATAAACCCAAGCTTGAAAATTTCAGTCTCACACGTAAAATACTGAATGCAGGATCCACGACCTTGCATGCTATTAGTTATTTTTGCTCTTTTTTAAGTGTCATGAGACATTTTCTAGAGTGCTACACATTCAGATTGTCACTAATTTTTTCTAGAAAAATAGAATTGCTTAAAAATTTATACCAATTTGCTTTTATTTTCTATAAAGATTTTAAGAGTTGTTAAATATCAGAATGCCTAATAGACTCATTTAAATTAATCCACGTAGCCAAAATACTTAATATCTAAAATATCTAGCAAAAATTTGTCATTCAATAAATGAAAATTTCATTGTTTTAGTAAATATTATGTTCTGTCTTTATTTGTATTTTAGGTTGATAAACATAATCACAGAACAGCAAAATCCAGCCCATTGAAGGGCTGGCTTACAGTGGCAGTTTACAGAGCATTTCCATGGTGTTTCTCTTCTATGAAAAAGCATGGAGAGTTGACTTTTGGATGCTGCCACTAATAAGGATTGTGACCAAGAGGATGACAAATCTTAGTCTAACGTTTGATATTCTGAATATACTTATTTGATGACTGGCTATACCAATCAATGAAAAGTAATGGCCATGACCTTTCAAGCAGGAAACAATTATTGCCTACATGGAGATTCCTAGCTATATGCTGTCATCATTTTGACGGTGAGTTTAAAATCTGTGTTTAGAACTGTAGCAATATCCAAAGAGTCAAAAATATTTATCTCAAGATTTATTCCTTTTTTAGTGCATTTCCAAAATAATTTTATAATATAAATGTCTTCTTTCCTTAAAAAAAAAGCAAACCCACTTTTCTTGTAAAAGAGCTGAGAGCAATATAAAACCACTTGCGTTCCTACATCTTCACCCTTTAGACAACCAATACTCTTGAGTGCCTATGATGCAGACAGCAATAAACTCAGCAAGCCATTATCAATGTAACATTAGCTGCTTTAAAGAAGCAGCCCTGTCTTTTACATTACCTTATCTTTCAAAAGTAAATATACCTGATTTTATCATTTGATTGACTGAAATTTCAATTTCCATCTTTAAACATACTAGGTCTTGCCAGACTCTATCTGTATTAGACAATTAAATTAAGCTGCATTACATTAAATATTTTGATTACATTCCACTAGCCTCCTTTCCTCATTATAAGATGAATGATGAAAGAGAGTCTAACTCTCTCCTTCAATCCAAGACTCTCTATGGATTAGATCTTTTGGCTTAGGTTCAGTTAAATTCAAGTATTCACCACTAATTGAATTAAGACTCTTTTTTTCTTAAGAACAATCATTAAAGTCAAGTACTTCAGAAGAAAATAAATAAAGGCAATAATAGCTAAATATATAATTCTATTCTCTATTTGGACTGCAAGAACCAAAGTAAAAGTACACACGTATACACACACACACACACACACACACACACACACACACACACACACACACACTTCCTTCACATAGAATGATAGTTTTGATAACCTCAATACTTGGGGTTAAACCACCTTCTTCCTTCCTTCGTGCTCAAGAATAAGAAAGCAAAGAGGAAATTAGCAAGCCTGAGTAAAGTCTATGAAGAAAACACAAACACTACACTTGTCTGTAGTTTTACCCATACAAGGCTGATTTCAGGAGCATGACAGATGCATTCTGGGAAAGACTGGTATTCTGGTGTCAGGTTTGGAACTCAGGGAAGATTTTGCAAGAAGAAAGATATTTTTCATGGAAAAAGTACAGGGAAACAGAGGGGAAGGCAGAGATACTGAAGTCACGTTCCTAGTGCATCCTCCTAGTAGCCTAAGTAGTCATTTATCAGCATGCACTTTTAAAAGACCTTCATCCCTAAGGTCCACACAATGGGTCTTAAACCTGGCCTGACAATAAAATAAAAAAAAATATATAGTTGGATAAAGCACTAAACATACAAAAAAAGTGGCATCTGAAATCTTAAAATGCAAGAAATGTTTTCAAACATGATATTGTCAAAGTGAGTGAAATACTCCATCATAACAGATGAATGCATATCCAGATGAAATTGTGTCATTTCTGATGGCCTAAAGGAAAGGATGTGTTAGCAACTTAGAAATTAAACCCTACACAGGCACCGACATTAGAAGAGAACACAGCACAATAAACTGAGCGGCTTACAGACTCAAAAGCAGTTCTCATTCCTTCAGCAAAACGGGTGGCATATCAAGGCCACCAAATTACCAGTCATTTTTCTGCAGAGAATAATCCCCATGTGCACTGAGAGTTCAGTAAAGTTTCACGACTCTACTTATAACTTTTATTTAAACCTTTCAATTCCTATCCATGCTCAAAATGCAGAAGGAAAGAACTCTTGGGAGTGAAAACTAAATTTTATTTTCTCTTTTCTAAATATAAAAAAGAGAGAGGGAAGAAAACACTGAAACCCTGAATAACAATCATAACTAATAGAGCAGCATAAGAGCATGCCAGGAACTCATCTATTAGTAGACACGGCGTGAGGAGGCATGAAAATGGCTTATGGAAGCAAAGGTGTTTGATGAAGCACGCCTTTAATCGAGTTTCCCATTCTGAAGGCTAGTCTTGGCTTTCTCCTGTCTGATGAGAGAGATAACCTTGATGCATCCTTTTGTAATTTTGATCATCCACATGACATTCATCACATCCAAAACAAAACAAGTAGTGATCCAGATACACTGGACTGCAAATCCAAGCCTTATGTAGGGCTCTGTTCCGTACACGGAGTACATAAAGAAATACAGAGGCGGTATTGCAATGATCCGCACTGTGAAAAAGACCACTGTCATGAGGATTCCATTGATGACATTGGCTTTGGAAAACTTGGGGTACTTCAGGGCTTCAAAGAACCACCTGGAAAAGAGAAAGAGAGAAACATCACACTTATTCTGCAGCTTGGGAATCTACCACCTTACTCTCAAGTTTTAGGCTATAAAAGAATTCAAGGAACATCTAACAATTTGCATAGAGGGGCTGGGGAGCGGCTGTGTGGATAAAGTGTTCTCTGTCTGGTCACAGAGACTTGAGCTCTGCATCTTGGAGAAAAGGTTTCCACAGATTAAAATGAAACCACACAACTTCAAACTGATCCCTGTAACCTACCTCTGGTTCACAAAGGGGCTGGAGAGCTCGGCAAGCAGGCGAAAATTGGCAATGTATGAAAGCACTCCATCTTTCTGGATAAGAGACAGAAACAGTGTCAGGGACTCATCAAAATATACAAATGTTCTAGAAATAGCCAGTCACTCCTATGTATAGGCCATCGTTATAAAAACAGACCAGGTGTCTACCTTTTATTTTCTTCTTTTTTAAAAAGTATTTTTCAGGTGTATGAATGTGGGCCTGAATGTTTTTATGGGCACCATATGCATGCCTGGTGCTCTGGGAGACCAGAGAAGGTCTCCTAGATCACAGTTACAGACAGTTGTGAGGCATCGTGTAGGTGCTGGGAACCAAACCCAGGTCCTCTGGAAGGGCAGCCAGTGCTCTTAACTGCTAAACCATCTCTCCAGCCTCCTGATTTTCTTCTTCAGACTTTAGAGATGTGCTTAGAATTCTACAGGTGATAAAAGATGGTCCATCACATATTTAAGTTCACTTAGCACTTTATATTCATCCAGGGAAAGAGAAATCAAGCAACTGGTTCACACTGAAGTAACACACTCTACCACCCACCATTACAGCATCCTCAAACTACTCTAGGAAAAAAGATCACATAGAAATGTAGACTTCTAAAGTTAAAGAGTTTTATAGTAAATGCCTCTGGGTATTCTTTTAATATCCATTATGAAATAAAAGTGCTTAAACATCTCAAAAGTGTAATTATCCTACACTGTGATAATTAATCTGTAAGCAAGTATATATTTTGCTAAACACAACACTAGATCTAGAAATATATACCTGTCAATTGGAAGATCCTAGAGCTAGAACACACACACACACATACACACACACAGTGTGGTATTGTGTTCCCCAAAATATTGTGCATGCTAATAAACTTATCTGGAGTCAGAGACAGAACAGCCACAATATTAAATATAAAGGCTAGGCAGTGGTAACACACACCTTTAATCCTAGCATTCCAGAGGCAGAAATCCATCTGTTCAAGGATATAGCCAAGCATGGTGACTCATGCCTTTAATCCCAGAAAGCGAGCCTTTAATCCCAGGGAGTGATGGTAGAATGCAGAAAGGTATATAAGGTGTGAGGACCAGAAACTAGAAGCATTTTGGCTGGTTAAGCATTTGGCCTGGTTAAGCATTCAGGCTTTTGAGCAGCACAGTTCAGCTGAGACCCATTCTGGATGAGGACTCAGAGGCCTCCAGTCTGAGGAAACAAGATCAGCTGAGAAGTTGGCCAGGTGAGGTTAGCTGTGGCTTGTTCTGTCTCTGATCTTCCAGCATTTCACCCCAATAACTGGCCTCATGTTTGATCTTATTAATAAGAACTTTTAAGATTCATGCTACACACGAGTGTGGGGGGGGGGTGTTAAAACTGCCATGAGGCAAATGGGGTCACTCCAGCATGTCTAATCCTATCAGAGTTGTAATACATCTCAGAGAAAAGTCTCCCCACCCCCAATCCAGTAGATGCACACAAAATTTGGTAAACTATTTTCTGGCCAGGTATGCCATGCTAAATTAAAGCAACATGAAGCATTAAAAATCTAAAGTTGTTTTTTTCTTTTTTAAACTACTTATCTACATAATTATTTGGGGCGTTTACAATTCAGCACTTGACCATAGAATTAGCTTTCCTGGAGCTATTTTTCCCCCTATTTTACAGTTCATTGTCGTGAGATTGGAATGTATGAATAAGAAGGGAGGAGGGATGGCCAAAGAGCAAACCAGCAAGCTGGATGAGGGGTCAACTTGTCACAGTGACCCAGGGCACTGCCACTTGAAGCCATGTGTAGATTCAGGCTCTGTGTGGGTTTACTGATTTCACTATACATGGTGAAAGGTAACAGTGCCTGTTAGTAATAACAACACCAACTCAACAAAGTGGTTGTTTTTTTTTAATGACAGTACAACATTCTACAACCATCCTTACTGTCCTTTTACTTCTGTTGAACAGTTAAACAGGCGATACTGTATGTTTCTAGAATATATAACACATTTTAAGAATAATATAAACTAATTAGAATTAGAATGAGTTTAAAGATAACATTTTTCCCTGTCCCATGACACAGGGTACTTCTTTTCTGTTTTCTTTCTCAGTAACATTTCTTCTTTTCCAGTGACTACCCGCAGCCAGAAGGGAAAATTTGTAAACCCAGGTGTGTAAAACTACGACAATGATACATGAGATTCACTCTGACTTGCATTTCAGCTCCTCAGCCAACCAAGCACCAGTTTCTATTGTCAATCCACTACGACATAAGCCCAGGTTATATAGTTTCCCAACAAAGATGCTAGAATCTAGAATGCGTTATTAAGTTTCCTGTTCCCCAGAAACATCTAGTCACTTTGTATCTAAAATCTTGTTTTAGGAGACCAGCTGTTGTCAGTTAAGTTCCTTTGGAGGTAGGAGGGCATCAGCTACACTGCATATTTCTGAATAACCATGGTGTTTTCATACTTAAAGTAGACAGGACTCTCTGATAAGCTATAATAGACTCCTGTTTGATGTGGCTCCCATTTGCTGGTAAATTTTGTTGTTTTTGAAACAGTGTCATATACAGCACATGTTGACTTTGAACTCACTAGGTAACCAAAGAGGACTCTGAACTCCTGATCTTCCTGCCTCTACCTCCTGCTTCTACCATGCCTCAGATTAAGTGCTGCTATGGGCAAAACCCAGAGCTCTCTGTGTGCTAGACAAGCACTGAACCACTGAGCTACATTTCCATCCCATAATTCATACTGAAGTTTTGAAGTTACCTCATTTTCAAAAGCTGAGTAACTGCTTCATTGTATGATTTTATTTTCTTGCAACAAACACCTTAAACAACTCAAATGAAGATGGTTTCTTCCTGTGGCCTCCTCAAAAACCAAAGAGCTCTGAGAGACTGTCCATAAACATTTGATTTACTGTACCATTTTTCTACATTTCATCCTCAATGTATTAAGTTGTTCTGGAGGTTTTGGTGAAATTTATAAGTGATTGAATACAAAATCCTCAAAATCAGAAGTTGTGTACAGATATGCAAGGAATTTAACAGGTAATATCTTTCCCCATTTTGGCAAGACATTTATACACTGAAATTGGCCAAAGATGTGCATGTGTTCCCTGCCAAACACAAGATGAGCAACACCTCATCTGCATGTTAACAATATACCACCAACTCTTATTTTGAATTCAGTGTCTAACTCTGTTCTTCAAAACACACCCAAAAGCGGGGCTTGGGGTGGGCACTTTTTGTTGCCATGACTCGATGTGACTACTGAAGAGCCGAACACTGCTCCCATCTGACATCTCACCCAATCAACTCTGTGTTGCAAGAGGTCAAAACACCTTTTCAGCCCCACAATCCTCCTCCCTGTACCCATTCTGTCAAGAGGATTTCTGAGTTGCCGCCTGGGCATTAGGAAATGCAAGTTTGCTCAATGTCATGTAGCAATCAAGACAAACATATGATGTGTATGTTCATATGGTATTGTCTAAGCTAACTCAAAGCCGGCTGCTTTCAGCTGAGCATCAACATCTTTCTGCAAGATGGAAAGGGCACAGCTTGATTTAGACATAGCTGCCCATTGCATCACAGACTTGAGAAAGCCCACGTCCTTCTATACCTTTACATCTTTCCAGCCAAAAGTGTATTCATCTGGGAGGGTTGCAACAAAGAAATAGGTGGTGGGTGAAGGGTACAATGTTTCAGCAAGAGAACTCAGTTTTAGAAGCAGAGGTCTGAGGTGAAGGTGCCATGGGATGCATACCTCTGAAGGTCAAGGGAATTCTCTGCCCACCCTTGCTGCCAGCTTCTGATGGTCCCTCCACTTTGGTGGCCTGACTTCTATCTTCACACAGAATTCCTTGGCCCAACCCACTCCTTTTAATATGGACATCAGTAACGGTTTATTAAAGACCCAGCCTACTGCAAAATAAACGCCTCTTAACTAATTACATATGCAAATGGACCTATTTCCACATTCAGAGGTACTGGAAGCTAGGAATTCAACACGGGAATCTTAGCAGGACCATAATTCAATTCATACCAATGTGGAATCCCCAATTCTTTTTCTGCATATTGCATAGTATTTCTGTTTTGACTATATTTCTCTTTAATTCAATGTTATGAGTCTTTCTATCTGCTTATTAATAGTATATATTTTTCCATATACAAGAATGATGACCTTCTTTTATCAGTGATGTCTGGGCATTCTAGTAGTATCATAAACCATCTCATTTTCATTACATAAACTCTGACAAAATATAGTCACTCTAGAAAATTCAACCTTATAGATTAAACAGTGCAAATCAGAACTGTCAGTCCAACACCCAAAGTCTATGAGGGACTATTGCTGTTCACAATTACAACATACTTCAGTTGCATCAGAATGTCCCAGTGATGGGTGATCCATTATTAGAAACCGTAAATCAGAGTTGCCATGGATAGTTTCACATCATGGGATAGGTTTCCTGGGATGTAGGATTTTCAGCGACACATCTTCCTTGGGTAAGTCACACTCATTTTTGTTTTACTATAAGTTCATTTTCATACATAATAGAAGTCACATTTGCAGCTAGGAAACACAAGGATGAAAAACAGAACATCCTGACCTCTCTACTTTGCACAGCATGAAGAAGCACTTTAAAAATAACAGGAAACAAATTGCTACTCACATTGCAAGCTCATGCATATTTTATGTGTATTCTTAATAAAAATTGTGGTGACTTCTTAAAAGCACAGATGAATCTGTCCAGAAGAATTGCTTAGAGGGGTTGGAGAGATGGCTCAGCAGTAAAGAGAACTTGCTACCCTTGAAGATGTGGATTTGGCTCCCAGCACCCACATGGCAGCTCAAAACCACTTGTAACACTAGTTCCAGGGAACCTGACATCCTCTCTGGTCTCTGCAAGCACCAGGCACCCCATGGTGCACCACACATACACTAAGGCATACTCACACATACATATAAAAATAATAAATCCATCTTTTAAAAATCAATTAGTTGGAGTATTCAACTTAAAAGCAGGTTGACTCTCAGCACAGTGGCACACATCTGTTTCCTAG